CTCCTCCCTCCCTACACGTCCTAGCAGCCGCAGTGAACGAGACGGTAGGTATGGGGAGTAGCGTAGAGGAGTCATCATATTGTCACGAGTGGCAGTGTGGTCTCTGCGCGTAGATATAATTCGCACCTGTTGGTCAGCACCCAGGTTTCTCACTTTCAAGTGTAATATTAGTCCGGCTAGAGGTGAACTCAAGTAGTTTTTCACATGCGCTGGCACAGACAGCTACATCCTCCTTGCCTTGTCGGCTTCAGAATTACAAGAAACATCCGCACCATACCTGTTGATGATAAAAGGCAGATTGGAATTGGGGATTATGTCCGTGAGAGTACCCAAAACTGAAATTTGAAGCTGTCAGCCCCTTCCGATCTTCCTGCCTATTAAACGCACGGTCCGCGATCAAGTGTAGAACGAAAATATGGCGTTGGGAGGGTAATGTGGTCCGCGACGAACAATCCTGTACCGGTTTCGCGGCAAAAAAGTGTAAGGGAGGGGCGCTATAACGCAAAATAGGTTCAGTGACGCCTCCTTAATTCCAGTGACTCCGACCAAGCCTCCAAAGTCCTCCTTTCAGTGGAAAAACGAAGCTGCAGGACGAAAAAGCATGAAAGTCGTCACTTGTTTGGTCGTAGAGTTCATAACGGGAAATCAGCTGATTCAGCTGTTCTACGGATGAGGGCGCCATGTTAAAAATGGGGTTACAGTCCTCATCATTGCGGACCGGTGGGGCGTGTCAGCCAGTATGAGTGTGCACACTGTTGAAGCCGTTCTCAGCCTTTTTGTTGAAACGCGTATGCGACAAAAAGTGGTAGAAAACGAGTAATACGAAGGATATAATACAGTAATGTCACTTGCCCGCTTCAACAACTGGTGCAGAACGACTTTGGCACCGCGCCAAACGCAGCCGCACTGACACGCCCCACCGGTCCGCAATGATGAGGACTGTACATGTCCATCGAACTGCCAGTGGCGCCACAAACTGGGATGGATTGGAGCTTGTATCTAGAGCGTTGGGCATGTTTTTCCTGCTTTCTCTTTTCAGATTGGTACGAGTTATCAGACCTTGTCGTCTGCCTTATGGCAATCCCCTGATCCACTATCTGTGACGGCGACATGGACTGCAAGACAATCAGCTCTGAGACGCGCCCTATTCCTACTTACTTCTGTATGTCATGGCACAGAACTTAACGGACCCGCCAAAGAACGTAAGCAGGGATATTGCTGTCGACATGAAATCGGCTGCGACAAGTTGGGGCGACCACATAGACAGCAACACTACAATCCACGTGATCTCGTCCGGTCACTCCCCTTGTTCGCTCTCTGGTCGTATAAATGCATTCGCTAGGGGGTTTTATTTGGGCTTTGACCTCTAGCGATTTTTTCTGTCTTCTTTCTTCATCACTTATGTGCTTGTCATCTTGGCAACCCCAACCGCACTAAGCAAAATATCTTAGGGCGCGCTTTGCGCCTTTCAGGCGGGGGGGAATTCTGGGGCCTCGCGCAATGGCTTGATATCCCTCAGTAAGAGGGGTCAGATCTGTTTTCTCTCGTGAACAACAGAAACGTTTGCGAAAATTTTTACTGCAGTTCAAGTGATGGGCTGACGTCTACTGACGATTACATGGTGCTCCTGCAGTTGGGTAAATTGTTCCGATGTACACCTTAAAAAGAGACACTTACAAACCAGTTAAGTAATCTGAAAGTTTGAAGAGGAAAAAAAGCAGACCTTGTTCTTCTGAGTCAAATCGTAGCTGGTCACTCCTAAGGGGCATCCGTCGAGTTCAACCTAGAAATATTACTGCTAAATCTCTATGGGGTTTATGAGCCATCGTGGAATAACCTGGCATTGCTGGTTACCACGTCGCGACAGGAAGCACAATGTGTAGAGAGCCATGTCGTATTCAGGAGACGTGCCGATCATCAACGATCCGGATTTCTTCAGTTCGTTTTGCCATTTGAATTTTAATTGGAGGCCATGACGAACTGCACAAGAGAAGCAGTTGTGAAAAAGACTGGGCGCAGTTAGGGGGGGGGGTGGCTGCATTTTGCACTGTTCGCTACTTTCCATCATCGAGCTAATAGGTAGAGACTCTTAGTACTTGCGTATTCATGAAGTGATAGCAGTTAAAGCTTGTATAGACCACTTGTCAGCTCTTGTAAATAGTACCTGTAGTTGTTAGCTGCTAGTTCCTGTAAAATAATGAACACGACGACTGGAAGAAGCGGACGTGCAAAATGCCCCCTCCAAGCCAAACTGCGCCGATTTTTCAAACTGTAGACGCAATATCATATATTGAGCCTTTTGCTTTAATTATTATTTGAAATCGCTCAACTTACTCCACGCTTTCACTATGTATCCCATGTAGTTGAGTTTTTCAGCCTGATTCTGCTCGAGTGTGTAGAATCTTACCCAGTTGTGCAGTCCAGAAACCTCTCCCTTTTTCTCCTGAACACAAGCAACTATGACTCTGTGAGGGGTTCGTAAAAGTGAATTGTTCTCTCGTATACAAGCGATATTTCGGCGCGCAAAATTCTACTAGATTATTGACAGTTTTGAGCATTTTCTTGAGCTGGTTTAATGTCACCAAAAATGAACCCAGCGCCGTGTGCCTTAGAATGAGCCAGTCATCAGCGACTTTTGCTCTGACCGCGGCAAAGCCCTTCATGTTGTCCGAGTAAGATGGTGGTCTTCATGGTTACGCGGTAACTGGCCAAGGGGGGGGGGGTTCCAGGCGCGAAAGCGCAGAGAAGTAGAGGGCTGCGGCTGCTATGGCACCGAAAGCTGCAAAAAATATGTCGCGAACCGGGAACGAGCTTTTTTCGGTTGAAGGGCGAACCCAGAAAGGGTGAGCCATTGGTCAGTTGTGAAAAGCTGGAATTTGCAGTCACGATGACCATAGAATGCCATACGGATAAGAGAGTGCAGAGAAAAACAGAAGGTCGACGCACTCGAAGGGATAAGTTGGAGTTGTCCGTAGGTCGACGTGTTGCGACTAATTGGCACACTCCTTTCCAGCTTTTTGTAAGCTCATGAAAGGCTTGAAAAGAATGTCAGCTGTCAGCCTCCG